TGTTAAAATGTACATTTAAATAAACATAAAAATTTCGTCTTATATATTGTAAAATTATCAACACAACAACACGATGATTGTTAACAAAGCTATTTGTTTCTTCGTAAATATTTTCCATTTCAGATACATTTCCTAAAGTACAATCTTCGTTATATCTCATATATTTAAATTGTAAATCTGCCACTGTCCAATTTTCTTTTTCACAAATTTTTTTAAAAGATTCCATAACACAATTTAATATTATTTCTGTAAATTCCATCTAAAAAAATAATCATTTATTAATAATAAAAAAGTTTGTTTACATAATCATACACTTTTAAATTCACTTGATTAATAATTAAATTTTTATCACAATTTTCTAAAAACATATAAAACGTATAAAAAGTTTCGTCTTTATAATATGGAAAATTTGTCAACAATACTTCTAACAAAAATAAAATTACATAATTATTAGGAAATTGATAATAAAAAAAATCTATCCAATCTATCCAAGAATCTTTTGGAATTGAAAGTTTTTCAAGTTGTTCGTCATTTTTAAAAATTTTACATTTTCCACAAATTTCTTTATATGCTAAAGCTTTATCGTACAAATCTGATAAAGTAAATTTCATCATGCTAATTGAATATGTATTATGAACTGTAGATCCAATCCATTGTCGTTCGCTAAAAGTTTTCATAATGTCGTTGAGTTTTAATACAGTTAACTTTCGTTTATCATAATACCATTTCTTGCTATCTTCAATTTTTTCATTTAATTGCCAAATAAATTTTTCTTTGTCATGATAATTTTTAAAAAAATCATAAAATTCAAAAAAATCATTAGTTGGAATTTCACCTTTTTTAAATTTAGATAAAGCTAAAATTAATACAAAACTAGCTATTTCCATTGGCACTTGTCTTTTATTTGTTGATATCAATGAACCCCAATTATATTCGTCTTTAAATTCGCAATCCATTTTTTTGTGTAATTCGTGCAACATGTATTCCATAGATACAAATTGTGTTTTACGAATAGAAATGGCATCCATTTCTAACATTTCCAAAATATTATTTAATTTAGCTTCTGTTATTATCTAAAAAAAAATTTTAACATATGCAATACTGACATATTTTATTATATTCACAATAAGGACAACAAGTATACAAATTTAAACATTCTATCATATCATTTTTTAATTCAATTTTAAATTTCAAAAAATTTTTTTTACTCTCAGTACAATAATTATTTTTAATTATATCATTTGATATTATTATTCCTTTATCACAAAGTTCTTTCATAGTTTTTATCCAAACCAAATGAGTTTGTATTATTGTATTACGTTTCTCTCTAGATAATGATTGAGCTGTCCAAAATACTTCCTTCAAACTTGAAACAAAATAATTAGCTATAGTTTGATATCGAAATTTTTCACCTACATATTGATATTGAAAAAGAATTTCTTTTAAACTTTTGTATGCTTTTTTATGATCTAAATTTATTACTGATTCGTCAATATACTCATCGGTGTTTATTTGTGATCCAAATATTTCATGTTTTTCTTTACTATTCATTATAACTGAAAAAAAAATTACAAATTAATAAAGATTATTTCAATAATGACATTTTCTTTTATTATCAACTTTACTATTTTTATTTTCATTGTTCAATTGGTTAACGTGTGAAACGAAAACATCTACATTTATGTAATCTTTAAAAAAAATATAAAATATTTTAAAGTTATGTGGTAAAAATCGATCTATTGTATGTAACAAATGTTTTTGAAATCCTTGTGTCAACATAACAACTAACTGATCTTCTGATCTCATAAAATCGTATCGAAACAACATGTTCCATTCATCGTTATCAAAAATTTTATTCTGACATCTTACATTCAGTAATTCACATTCTTCACATATTAATGGTTGAAGTTCTTTAGCTTGAATAATCAATTCTTCCAACGTAAACGGGCAAATTTCATTGTGTGATAAAAATCTTTTCATAAATTTATTTACTATTTTTACTGTTAATTCCATCTAAAAAATATTTTTTAAATTTATATAATTAACAATACAATATAATAAAAATCATAACTTTATATTTTAGCTCAATGTCTCAAAAAATTCACCAAATCTCTAAAGATTTTAAATCACACCCAAAATATTTTACATCAGACATATAATCATCATTTAAATATCGAACTTGTTTATCAAATTTACTTAACATTTTATATAATTTACAAATTACACGGTATCTATTATATGCTAAAGTGTTTTTTAATTTTAGTTTTTCTTCAACAAGCAAAACTTCTTTTTTCGGATAACATTTTTTATGTATAGAATAACAAATATCTTTAAATTCAGGATCCAATTTTACAGTAGAAATATCTTATAACTCTTTTATTTCATGATGCAAACTTGTAGAAGAAAAACTAACTTTTTCAGAATAACAAAGATCTCGTAACTCTTTCATTTCAAGATGCAATCTTGCAGTAGAAAAACTAAATTTTTGATATAAATTAAATAAACATTTATGATGCAAATCGTAAATACGTTTTTGGTTTATCGAGCTAACATAATAACATCTACCAAGTAATAAATTATTATACTTCATTTTAATATTTTTTATTAAACCATTATAATCTGTCGATGATTTCAATAACATCATTACATCAACATCATCAATATCAGCCAATTGCTGTAAAGTTTAAATTTCTTTGAGTAATTCTGGTTCTAATTGAACTTCATCTTCTTCTAACTTTTGTTTTTTTTGATCTGATGGTTCACATATAGGATCAGACATTATTAGTTATCTAAAAAAATTTATTTTAAAGTAATAAATTAACACATTTATTAAAATCATAACGTAACAATTCCCTTAAAAATTTTCCTATTCTATTCATTACATTTATCTTTTTTTCAAGTAATTTTTCACATTTTGTAAATTGTATACAAATTGTATACTGATGATACAAATCTAATACAATCTCGGTATATAAATGTAAAAGTTCAAGTTTAAAAACAATTTCATTTTGTTCATATTTGATCATATCCACATCTTTATCAAATTTTTCAAAAGTTTTTTTAACACATTTGTACTTTTAACATCTAAAAAAAATTTTTTATTATAAAAACATATTACAAAATAATTAAGAATCAGCAATTATCATCAACTCTATTTTATTAATTAAACTAAATAATTCGTGACGTATTTTTATTTTTAAAGTTTGAACTATTTCTGTTTTTGTCTGGTATCGAAATTCGTAAACATAATTTTCGAATTTTTGTTTTTTAGCACAACAAGGCCAATCGTCTTTATCTTTTATAAATTCAATAAACGCATCATTTCTTTCCTCTTGATATTCTTTTTCTTTTTTTATTTGCTCTTGTAAACGATAAATAGATTTATTACATTTGATAATCAACTTTGTACATACTTTCAAATATAGATTGATAGTACTTTTATCGTATGTATGTTTATGTTTATCGCTATTCAAATTATTACAACCATAAGATTTGAATTCTTGTATATCTTCCATATAATATTCATTACGTAATCCTTTTAAATAATCGTCGAACTTTTCACATTGATGAGCCAACTCTTTATCTTTTTCTTTTAATTTTTCTATCATGTTATACAACATTTTTTTTATTAGTTACCTAAAAAAATTACAAATTTTAAAAAAATGAAATATAAAAAAATTAATGAATTTTACATTTAATAAAAAGAGAATCTTCTACAATATAATTTAAAAGATCAGTTTTGTTTATAAATTTTCCAAATCCAAAAGCACGATTCATTCGATCTTTAATAGGTCTTTGAAAATAAACATCGTCACCGGTTTTAAACGATTTTTTAAATTTTTTCTCTCCCATTAATCATATTGTTACTCTTTTATCACTAAACGGCCATTTTAAAACAGCATCATAAATGTGTGACATTAAAACAACAAATATACCAATATAGTCGCCATGTATCATTTCATTATTATATTCAAGATCCATATTAAAATTAATTCTTATTGCCATTTTATAATTTTTATAAAAAAACGGTGCAGAAAAAAGGGTAGAACGATAATCATTCGAATTAATATTCATTCGTTTCACTATATCTTGAATCACAATAATCTTTTGACCGTCAGGTAAACCATTTGGTTCTTCAAGAAGACTAACTCTAATATCTAAATTTTTTAATAACAAAAGAATTCTTAAATTTTCATTTTTTTCATTATCTTCATCATTATCTTCATCACTTCCTTTCACTAAATCTTCAAGAAGACTAACTCTAAGATCTAAATTTATTAATTCTTCTTTTAAATTAGGTTTTTTAATAGTTATTTCATAATATTTTCGATTATCAAATATTTCGTCAAGAATTTCATCATCTGAATCACTTTGTACACATTCAAGAATTTCGTCATCTGAATCACTGTGTACACATTCTTCATTTTCTTCATTAACACTTGCATTGATTTCTTCATTATCACTTGCATCTTGTTTTTGATAACAAAAATCAGTTTTGTCATCCATTTTATATTGTTCACTTTGACACTGATTACCATTATATACAATAAATTTGCAATTATAGTCCATCTCGGTCAGTAATGCATTTTCCACATCTTTTATCCATTGTCACCATTCTCCATATTATTTAGAACTTTCTCAACCATTTCAATAAATTTATTAGGCATCTAAAAAATAAATTACAAAAATAATTATATAAAAAAATATTAAAGTCCTAATGACCCCGTCCCCTCCTTCACAAAGAGGGGGAGGGACCTAAAAAAATTTTTTTTGGCCCCTCCGCGGCCAAAAACAATTTCAAAAGTTGTTTCTATTAAGAATATGAGTAAAAAATTTAAATTTCAAAAGTTGTTTCTATTAAGAATATGAGTAAAAAATTTATTTTATATTTAAAATAAATCATTTTTTCCAACTTGGTTATTTTTAAAAATGATATAAAGTTAAAATAACCTAATCTTAAGATAATAAAAAGGTTTAAAGTTTCATATCTGCCCCCGTTAAACATTTTAAACCAAGTGCTCAACAATGACAATTCAGATAACTATCGAAATAGTATTATACTGTGTTTATAGTTTTGAAAGAGTCAACTCAGACCGCTATTAACTGGTTATGCACAAGGCATTTTAGATTTGCAAGCGGTAAGTTTTGTATTTCTTGAGATATCTTAGATTCTATTATCATTATCATATAAATGATATAATTGTTAAGTATGCTTTTATTTATATGTAGTATGTATTTTTTAATTTGTTTTTGAAGTTGCTAAAGATTTTAATGCTTTACTTAATGAAACAGTCTGTTTAGTAGGGGATGAATCTTGACAGGCTGTTAATTTTATAGAAGCTAATGTTGACCTTATTTTAAATATAAGTAAGTTGTTTTTTATTATTATTTTTTTATTATTATTGGTTTTAAATAGTGTTAGATATTCAATCGTATTTTTTATGAATCTAATAATTTAGTAGAGTGTTATTGTCTGGAGGTGTTTGATATTCAGGTAAGATTTTATTAAGTTAATTTATTTTAAAAGAATCTTTTAAAATTTACTTATTAAAAATTTTACATTTGCGTTTTTTTCAATTCCAAATTTTGTTTCTATTTTTTTTAATATTAAGTAAATTTTTGGTGAAAGATTCTGTTTCTGCATTAAACACTATCAAAATTTTAGTCAGTAGAACATGCAAAATATTGAAATGATTTGCTGCTGTGACTTTGTTTATGATTATCCGCGGCAAGATGGTATTTTATTGTCAGTTAAGATTTTGTGAATACTTTAAACTGCAGTTAATCTTTTTTATGTATTATAAATTATTTTGTATTACAAACTTTTTAAATTTTGTTATTTTATTTCTTTAGTTCTACTTTGGTACTTTAGCAACTATCATAAGTTTACTTGGTCTACTGTTAAATATGGTTTTAACTAAGTAAATTTTAATTATTTAAAATTTACTTTGTTGATCATTAGCTAATAGTTTATAAAGAATTTAGTCTGTTGCCATCAAGGTAAAAATAATTTTGTGTTTCAGTCAAATTACAAAATTTGTTTGCACTTATAGCTTTTATGTTTCGTTATTTTGTTTAATTGACTTTTTCATTAATTTTGTTATTAATTTCTTTTCATTTCAAATTTTGCCCGTTTTTAAAAATGCTATATAAAAATAGCAGCAGGCAAATTGATTTGTAGTATTATTATATAAAGATTATTATATAAAGATGTTTTTAATTCTATCATATGATAATTTTTCATCGTAGATATATCTTACGATGCTTTTTCAGCATATTGCAGTTCGCGAGGCACATAAGTTGTGGGCCCGAATTTAGAGCAAAAGCTCGCTCTCCTCCGCCATTTTTTTTTCTTTATCTTTCTTAATAAGGATCCTGTAAAAAATAAAATATGAGAAGGATCCTTAGTATGGATCCTGTAAAAAATAAAATATGAGAAGATAGCGGTGGGAAAATATTGCGCTATATCTTTAATTAGTATTTTTGTAGTTAGTAAATAATGCAGATGTATTTGAATTTGTTTTTGTAAATAAAACTTTTATATATTTTGTTTCGTTATCATGTATAAATAAATTGATTTACAGTGGTGTTATTATTTCTTTTTTGAAAAACACTTATTAGTTTGTGACATAGAATTGACTTGGTCGTTAAGTAGAATGCCAAGAATATATATGATGGTTATTGTTGATAAGGGTGATTAATAGGCAAGTAAATTATAAACTAACTTTATATTGATTTTTATTTTATTGATTTTTTATTTACCCCCCCCCCCCCCCGTTGGGATGCCTAAACAGTACAATTAAAGTGCGTGTAAACACGTTGAAAACAGTAACATTATTTTCCTTTCAGTTTATTAGACATCTAAAAAATATTATATAAAAAAAATATTACAGTCCTGTCGAACCAAAACCTCCCTTTCTTTCATTATCAGACAACATGGATTGTATTTCCATTTGACTATTTTTATTTTTATCTACAGTCCATGAAATTCTTTCTGCAAAAAAAACAGGTACAAAAGTCATTTGTGCAATAGATTGTCCTACAGTAACAGTATATGTTTCAATAGACGAATTATAAAGTATAACATGAATTTCGTTTCTATAATCAGAATCGATAATTCCAGGCGAATTCAATACTGTTATACCGTTATGTATGGCTAAACCAGACTTGGATGTAATCCAACCTTGAAGATCGCGATCCATTTGTGATATAAAAACACCAGTAGAAATTAATATGCGTTGATATGGTAATATTACTACTCTTTCGGTACTACGTAAATCAAAAGCAGCACTTCCTTTAGTAGCATATAAAGACCAACCTTTAGTATCTGTTATTTTTACTGTTTTCATCTATATAAAAATATTAAAATTTATTAACAACCGTATAATAGTTTACATGTTGGACAATAACAATGAAAAAAATCGTTAGGATAATAATAAACATCATTTTTTAAATAATAAATTTGACAATAATAACATTTTATAATTTGTTCATTATTTTGCAACATTCGTTCATAATGACATAACTTATTTTGTAGCATAACGTTCATAGTTTTACATAAACCTAAATAATCACGAGCGTCGTATAATTCTTTTTTCAAATCTTCTCTAACATTTGTTTCATTTTTAATTTTTTCAATAGCTCTTTCAATCTTAATACCATCTTGATCTATATTCATTATACTACAAGAATCATTCATTTTGTAATTATTTGTTCTTATTTTATACAATGTTAAATCTGTTAAATGATCCAATGCTTCTTGTAATTCTTTACTTTTGTTCATTTTTTTTACTAATCTAAAAAACAAATACAAAATTTTTTATTACAAATTACCATAAAAAATATACTCGTTTTATGTTTAATAAATTCGTTTGATTTACAAATGATTTGCAAATCCAATGCTTATATTTTTCATCTAATATTTTATTAAACAAATACAATTATTATATCAAAAATAATTATATTACAAATTAACAATTAAATTTACAAATGTTTGTGTCAAATTTTATCATTGTTTGTAGTGAATGGTTTAATAAACATAAATAGCACATTCTATCTTCACACCAAAAACAATCGTGCAAACTAGGATTTATCTTCTGACATTTTTGACATATAAAATAGGCTAATTTGTCTTTATCCAATTTTTTTATTTCTAATTCTGTATATGGTAAATAATTTGCTTCTTCTTTTTTTGAAATTGACTTTCCTGATTCCAGATTTTTCCATAAATATTTTGATATTTTAAAATAACGAATCGACGAATCTTTATTTAGATGGCTAAAACAAAGTTTTTTCTCTTTTTCAATTTCAATTAATAAATTGATTATTTCTTGAGTAAGATAATTTTCCATTTTTAATAATTCTGAACATTCTTCTTGTAATTCAATCATTTTTGTATATGAACTAATATATTCATTATTTGCTATTTTATTAACACTATTAAACCTTTCTAAACTCATCTTGCTTTGAAGTGATTCTGAAATAAAAACTTGACCCTTTTATACAGAACACAACACAATAAAATTCTATATTTAGTAACAATTAACATTTTTTTCTATTGTATTACCTTATAAAATAAAAATATGATATCATAAAAAATTAAAATGGCACGTTGACAATTTTTTTATATAAACTTTTTTTGATCTTGTTTTTTTTAATCTCTATTGTTAAAATTGGGTATATTAACAAAAAAAAATTTTCATTTTTATATCATTCAACAACTTTACAACAGTTAAAAAAACATATACAATAAAATGGAGAACGAAATTCAAGTTAATTATTGCAATCTTATGCAAAATTATTTAAAATACGGTGATATGGCAGCTGCTACATTGTGGCATATTGATTTGGCAAACGAAAAAGATTTAAAAGCAAATCAATATTCTAAAATTCCCGTAAAACCCGTAGCACAATTTACTTTTTTAAAAAAGAATTGGTTTATTCCAACCTAAACAAAGAGGAAGTTATATTGTTACCAGCATCTATTCGAAAACAATGCTCTCTTGCAGAAGATGCATGTAATTATTTGTATAGAGCGGAAATGAAGTTAAACAAAGAAGACAACCGTTTCAAAAATAAAACTGGCGAAGGGGAAATTACATTTAATGCTATTTTAATTACAACTCAAACCAAATTAAATAAAAAACTTTTACAATCTATGATGGGAAAAATTGAAGAAATACAAAATAGCGGATATAATTATGCTTACAGCAAACACAAAGTATTAAAATCACAACCTATTAGCACTTTTAACGTACGAATGTTAAAAGAAGACGAAGAAATTTATTATACAGAATACGATAGACAATCTTCTGTGGAACCTGTTATGATTAACACTTTACTTAAAAGCAATCAAACAAGATCTTTTAATCAAAATGTGAAAAGAGCTGCACAAGATTTAGCTGCACAAGAAAGTAAAGAGTATAAAAAATCAAAACAACACGAAATTTAAGACGAAAAAAATGATGACGAATAAACTTTTTTTATTTATAAAAAAACCTGTATTTCTATTTTTAAATTTAATAAAAAAACTAGCTATTATAAAAAAACGTGTTTTTTATTTCCTTATAGGGTTTTAATATGAAGTTATATAGATTAGCAAAAAAAATATAAATACAAATCAAAATATTTTATATATATATTATTTCAAAAAAAATGACTAGCAAGCAGGTTGAACAATCTTTAGAAAAAGCAATAAAGTTGTTTTATCCAGACAACGAACTACATCCTATGTTACAAGAATTTCATCATTTGGAAAACAGTTATGAAGATTCGGAAATTATTATAAACGATTATTTAACTAAATGGAATTTACAATTGTTAATACCAGAAGAAGAATATATTGATTTGTATTTTATTTTCATCATTAAAGATTATCAAAATCATCAAAATTTATTTGAAAAAACTACGCGTCATTATTTTCAATTTCATGAACAAGGATCTAAATGGAAATCAGACATGTATGATTTTTGTAAATTAATCAACACTGATTTTTTAAGTACAGAAAAAAAACAAAGAATCACAAAATGAGTACACAGAAGATAGCAATTTTACAGAGAGATACTTAATGTTGAAACGCAAAACTGATCATTTTATAAAAATATACAAGAGATATTATCGTAGCACTATTGACAACAAATGCACCTCTTGGAAAAATAAAATTAAATTATCATTACAATATTATTTTTTGTTTCCTTATTTAATCGAAAATCATTCATACGAATATGATTTATTAAAGCGTAACAGTTTAATTTTGCAAGAAGAGTATCCTTCTTGTTTACAAAGATTAGTATTTTCGTACAATGATAAATTATTTCATAACGGATTTTATACTCTTTATACACCGACACCCATTTATAACTATTTCAAAGTTGAAAAAGTAAAAACTATGAACGATAAAGTCTACATATACAAATCGTTTAATCAATGTAATTTTTATGAAAAATCAATTATGGAAATGTTTCCTTATGCCAATTGGTTTTATTTTTTTAAAAGAAATTTTACCATTTCGAAAATTTTAACTAGACGAGAAAATCGACTCTACGATGTTATTAAACAAGAAATTATCAACGATAATTTATAATTTATACCTATTCATAAAGCTGAACATTTTAATATGTATTATATAAACGCAAAGGAATGTTTATAAAAAACAAAATTATTTTTTTATTTTTTTATATTTATTGTATAATATGTTTTATTAACCAAAAATACATTATTAAAACATTTACATTTTGTTTGATTTATTTCTTCACATCGGTTGTTTTCTTGAATTAAATTAACCAAGTCTTTATACTGTTCTCTTTTTTGATTATTACCTTTAACATAATATATAAAATCAATTAAGTAGTTACGTAGCATTTTAGTTTCATATTTGCAACAATGTTCCATATGGTTTATATTAAGAAGTTCACCAACAAAATGAGCATTGCAAATTAATTCATCATAATAATAATTCATGACTTTAATTTTTGGAAATGTCAACTCATTAAGGTCAAAAAAATAAACATTTTTATAACATTTTAAAATTAAAGCTTCCATATTACCACCTTTATATAAAACCAAATTCAATGGATATTTTTAAAAATGTGTTCCCAAATAGTCGTATATATCAGTACAAAAAATTCTTTTAGAGTTGCACAATAAACTTGGATCATATGTCAATCCGTGCACATATTTATGACAATGATCAAACGCTTTTTGGTGTTTTGTTGCCAAGTTTTGATAGGTGAAACACGGCCACACTTGTGCGTGAAAACACGAATCATCGTTTAATGGTCGTAAACATATCTCCCTAATACAATTTTTACCCCAGAAATGATCATTAAATTCGTTATGAATATATTCGGTATCTAGCAACCAAATCTAAAAAAAATAACAAGATTTTTTAATAAAAATGAAACGCATTCTTTTTTTAAAATTTTTAAACATGTATAAAAAACTAAAAAAAATTAATAATTTTTAAAAAAATAAAAAAAATGAATCGAGTTGACAGCATCATTAAAAAAATTCATAACAATTGCGCTGTTTGCGCATTAGATGAAATAGCCAAAAGGTATCAATCTCAAGAAAACAAATCTGGAAACTCTTCACCTTCATCTCTAGTTATAGACGATGAACATTATAAAGACGCATCTTCAAATGATTTTCTTGAAAATATTTTAATTTCAAAAAGAATTACATTAAATTCTTATTCTATTGAAAAATGTTTTAAAAACAGTAAATTTAAAAATTTACTCGACCAGCCACAACTATGTCAATTTCACTTGAATAAATTTGACAATATGAAAAAAGATCATCTTGACGAAAATGTTATAGCTGATTATTAAAAATCTAAACTAAAAGTTTTCTTACTCGAAAGAGATGTTAAACCTGTTGTTCCATTTGAAGGTGATCAAACAGACGGATTCATTGATACTTTTACAGCAAAAATATTACCTACCGCTTCAACTATCATAGAAAAACTAGGTGGTGTTTTAAAAAAGAAATCTGTTAAAAGAAACATTGAAGGAATCATAAAAGACGGCACGTCCGATAAAAAAACATTATTTGTTAATATTTTACACGCTATTGTAACATTATTTATTTCAAGTTTTTTTAGTTTAGAAAAAGAAGAATAAATGTGTACTAACGAATCTTTGTCTAGTTATTTTAATAATGAACCCTTTTTAAAAGAATATTTTATAGGTGTTTACGCTTTTGACGAATTGAGTCAAACTTAAACACACGTAAACATTATTAGGCGTATGGCAAAAAATGGTTTTTTTTTTTATTTATAATAACGAAACTAGCAAAGAAAATGGTGAACATTGGAGACTTTTACTCAAATTAGACGGTAATCATTTTTTTTGTTTTGACAGTTTAGGTACTGAAAGCTGTTTAAAACAAATTCCACCATTTTTAAGAAGCAATAGACATTTGTTTGAAGCTGTAGAAGAAATACAAACTAACATACAAATAAACGCTTTAAACATTAATTATAATGAAATTGAAATAAGTTCTTACATGCGACAAACCAATCACTTTCCTTACGAATGGACATCTGATAATCATGAATTATATTAAAATATAGTTCGAGGACTGGTCAACAAACTATTTTGTTTTCTTATAATAAAACTTGTTTTCAATGGGAAAACAGTAGTTTGTGCGGTGCTTTTGCCGCTTATTTTATATCCTTGTTACCAAACTATCTTATTAACGGTCAAATTTATTTACCTTTGTTGTGCAGATTATTGAACTATCACTTCTATGAAGTTTCGTCTCTTCATGCTTCCGAACTAGCTCAAATAAATTTGCTTCCATTTTTTCACTTTGTTAAAACTAAATTATTTAAACACTTGGATGCTACTGCTAAACAACTTTTTGAAAAAGACATGAAACTACATCTCTATTTAAGAAAAACTGAGAGTCTGGTACGCAATAATGTAACAATGAAAACAATGAAAATTCCTATAGAAAATGATATTTTTAAAAATGAAGTCATGACCAATAACAAAATTAGAAGCTTTTTAAACGATGCCAGATTATTGAGAACAAACAACGAATGTCAATGGGATAAAATATCAAGATATCAATGCTATTAGAGATGTTATGAACGAAGAAAACCTTGCTTTAAAACGTTACGAAAATATGAACGATATGTATTTTTTCGATTACAGAAGATTAAAAGATATAAATAATTTTATTGACGTGCCTCAAGATGATGTCATGACAAAAAAAAGAAATAAAAACTCTCTTTGTTCAAAATTTAATATAATAAAATGTCAACAAGTATACAGAAAGCAGCTTTATGCAAAATTCGAGAAAAAGTTATAGAAGAAATTTGCGAATCGTGCGCTGGAAACGGATTATTATATATCGTCAATTTGAAAGATCCGAAATTGATAAATTATTTAAATAAATGTACGAGTACCGTTTTTAACAATGAAGTTTGGCTTCTACATAAACCAACTCAAATAAAATTCGAAATAAAAACAAATAAACTACTATGTGATGTGTGTAAAGGAAAAAAAAACTTTTATTAAAAAAACACAAGACACAAGAAAAGAAAATAAATTTTACATTGTATTTTAATTTTATTTAAAAAATAAATGTTTTTTTACATCAATTTTATTTAATATACTTCAAAACTTTTATCCGCTGGTTTATATAAGTTAAGGGGTGGTTGAGTTGCAACTGTTTTTGTTGTTACAGCAGGTGATGATTTTTTCCCTTTCCATGCTTTTTTTAAACTGTATAATAATGAACCCACTTTTAAAACATTAGTTACATTTTGAGGTGTAACATAGTCTGATAAACCACGAGCGCGTTGTTTTCGTTTAACTTTACGAGTACGTCTTTTTTTTATTCGCATTCTTCTAACAACCATATTGATAATGAATCCTTTATAACTGATACAAAATCATCATATTTCATACTAAATACTTTTTTAACACTCATACCAAATACTTCGAATATAAAATCAATGTTAGCTACATCGTTTGAACGAGTTACTTTTATTTGATTGCTACCGTCCAAGCGAAAAAATAACTTGAAATTACCATTTACATCTTTCAAACTATCGTTTGTTTGTAAATTTTCCAAATCATTAACATTATAAAATTGTAAAAGAGAATCTTTAAAAGCAGTTACGTCCATTTTTTTTAAAAACTAAATTTTTTTTTCAATAAACATTTTTTTTATTCTTTTATATATACCCTTTTAAAAAAATAAAAAAAACAACAGTATTAAATATATTATTTTATTATAGGTATTTCATAACCAATATATATATCGCCTTTATTTACATGTCTAATAGTATATAAACCAGAACGTACTTTATAATCAATAACAAATCCTCCTTAAAAAGTAGAAATGTCTGTATGTCCTTCTTTTTTATTTCCACTTATTATTTGACATAGATACTCATTAAAATATTTAAAAGTTAATATATATTCGCCATAACTTGTTACATCGGCTCTTATGTTATTTAAAGAATATTTACCCATATCTTCAAGTAATAATTTATAAAACTCTAGATCTTCTTTAATAATATTAACGTATGCGTTAGTATAACAACTGATATCTTTTATCAGCGTGTTCGCAATAACTTTGTTTAAACAAACGTCCTTCATCTAATGACATTCTTGTTAAACTAAATATTTATTTCTAAAGTTTAACGAATAAATAGCCTGTCCACCGGATCTATACCACCTATCTAATTCACGTTAGTATCATTTTTTAAAACAAAATGAATTTAACCTTTATTTAAAAAAACTTGCAATATTTCCTCCAAGTTTGCGTATAATTTTCTTATGTCTAACTTTTTTATTTCTAAATTTATATCTTTTTGCTTACTTATAATTTTTACGATATTTTTTTCATCTTATGATTTACTTCAGTTACTTAAACTTTATTAATGATTAACTTAGACTTTGTTAACAATTTATTAATTTTAGTCTTAGTCTATTATCTATTATAAAAAATATTTGTGTCACCCGACACTGTCCTTACTTAACCTGCCTTACCTAACTTATTTTGTTTTTCTTTGTAGGCCTACTTATTATTTTCACTCTGTTGTTTTTTACAACCGGTTGTTTGTATCTTACTTACTTACTTACTTACTTACTTACTTAACCTTACTTACTTAGTCTATTATTATTGCCTTACTTAAGCCTGCTTACCCATTCGTACACATTCGCCTGCTTACGTATTCGTTCACACACGCTCAGGACTCACCGAGAGTATGCTTCTCAGTGGGGACAGTCATCAAGTAACAGTAGTAACACCGTAACTCAATGTGGTTAACATATAACTAACTAAACTAACTAGACATACGTTATCAAGCGTTCGCTCAATGTGTTTATACATATAATGTTAAAGCCGTAAAGTTATAGAGAGATTCGAACCCTGGACGATCGGTTCATGGCGGTTTACAACATAGTGCGGAAATGATACGATGCACTATGCTACGTCGACGAGTTGTTTAAGCGTGTTTTGAATTCATTTAAATTGTCATTTTAACACTTTACGCAGAGACTTTTTTTTCTACACAGAGTTTTTTTAAAGTTGTTTATGCACATTTTTAGGGAAATTCCCTAAGAAATTCCCTACATAATCTTTTATAAAAAGCAAGATTAAAAGTTTCTAAATATAACTTGTTTGTCACAAAAATCTATTATTTTACTTAATCTATAAAGATTAAATATTTTTGTATAAAAGCTGCATTTTTTATATCAAAAAATCAAATGGCAATCACTAAAGTTGTTTGTAGAAAAAAAATGTGGAACAATAAAACAGTGCCTGAAACTATCATTATTGATGATGATCAAGAGTTAGAGTTTACACAAATTGATTTAACCGCTAATGAATTCATGAAATCTTGAGAAAAAAAACTCAAAATAGAATTGAAATAAAAGTCGAAGAAAAGGGTACACAAGAAAAAAACGTTCACTTTCAAGTTAAAAAAGTAAGATATTTTTATATAAAAAAATTATTTTTTTTATTTTGTTTAAACTTGTTAAAAAAATAATTTTTTTTATTGTTTTAGAAAAAGAGCAAATACAAGCTCAAACGAAATAAAGCAAGAAAAATAAAATTTATTCAAACACAAATTCAATATGGACTTGAATATTTAAAACAGCACTGTAATTAGTTTTTTTACAATAAAATATAATGTTTATTTCTTTTTTCTTTTTTTTAACGCTGCATTTCTTTCGTGTTTTCGATTAACGTAAGCTTCGTTTGATATTTTCCATCGTTTTACTTTTTTACCAACGCGTCCTAATTTACGATTAGATTTGTTATCTTTATATGTTTTTTTAGCTTTTCGTAAACATACTAATATATTTTTACAATTGCTTGGTATCCGTCTATTTTTTGTTTGCGTATGTTGCGAGTTTGTTGTAGTACGTACAAAATCAATTTGATTATTTAAATAATCGTCTACAGTTTTTTTTGATCTAGGTGTATATCTTGTGCGAGGCATTTTTTTTTAATATTTTTTTTGTTGTTAAAAAAAAAATATATTTATATAATAACATTTTTTTAAATTTTTTTACAGATTTAATTATATAAAATAAAATGAGTGAAAATGAATTAACAAATATCTTGTTATTCTATCTTGAAGCCTATTGGCAACAATTTGCTAATTATTTGAATATGCAACGCTGTGTTATTGATGCCATTGACAACGATTACAATAGAAGTTATTTAAAAAAATGTCGAGTCATTACGCTATTTTTTCAAGTTAATCCAGAAGAAAAATTTAATCCGCATTTTATATTAAAAACATTACAAAAATGGTTGATTGACGAACTACAAAAAAATAATTTTAAATTAACAAACAATTTAAACGAATTAATTTTTAAAGTTAAGAATCGTATTATTGAACCCATGTAATATTAATTTTTTATATTATTGTATAACATGTTGTATTTTATTTTTTAGATTAACTAAAATTAAAATGGAAGCCATTTATGATGATGTGAATAAAGCAATCTACAAATATGGCAAACCTGTCGTAAATAAAGTCGAACCATGTGTACCATACGAGGCCATATTTGTAGATGGAAACTCGATATTAAATTTGAAAAATATCGATGTTCTCGATGAAAAAGAAGATTATGAGATGGCAGATGATGAATATAATGATGACGAACATGATGATGATGAATGTAATGATGATGATGATGAATATAATGATGAATATGATGAAAACGATGATGAATATTATGATGTTGTCGATAAAGAAATTAATAACATCGATGAAAATGAACCTATGGAAATAGACAATTAACTTTTTTTAAATTATTTTGTATTTTTATTTTTAATGGTCCTTTAGTTTTGAGTGTTTTAAGAAATGTATTTTCTCAAAGCAGCCAAAACTAAAGGTATAAAAAAATAAAAAAATAATGAAATGGAATGGAATGGAACTTTTTATTTTTAATGTCCCTTTAGTTTAGACTGTCCTTAAAAATTTATTTTCTAAGGGCAGCCAAAATTAAAGGTATAAAAAATAAAAAAAAACAATGGAATGGAATACATCACTTTTGTTCTCATTTGTTATGAATATGAGATTGCCACTTCTATTCAATAGAAAGGACAATTTCGTATTCATAACAATGTAACATATTTTACTGAGCAGCTGTCAATACAATCGATTATATACATTAAAGAATTTTTTTGTAAATTTATAATAATTTGTATTTTTTTTTGCTTTCAATAATAAATATATTTTTTCATATTGTTTTCTTTATAATATGTTAACCTTATTTGACTATAATTTTACCCGTAATATTACATAATATTACCCATAATATTTAAAAAAAATCAATTATACTAATTTA